GAAAGCATTTAGTATCTGCATGTTACAGCCATCTAATGTTCATCTATTTTTGGCTGGTAATTCCTGTTTCAAAAGATAACATTCTTACTGGTTGTAGAAATTCACAAAACCTTCAACTCAAACAACTAAAAAAAACACTCCACATTTTAATAATTTAACTCATTATACAAAGAAAAAAAGACATTCAATACATATTTCACCACTATGTAACTTACAATTTTCAAAATAATGCAAATGAAAAATACAGTAAGATCAGCACATTTCATTAATGATTTTCAAAATATTCTCAAGAAAAAATAATATTAATCTTTGCAAGGGGGTTAAAGTAGTTTATTAAACTCTCTCCAAATTATTAATACATTTTCTAATATTAATGCATGTCTTGTCAGGTAAAGTAATGTTTTAAAATGTACTCAAAGATACTGTTCAATCCTTACTCTATGAACATGATATTTGTGAAAGACTCTTTCAGCCCTAAATAGATGCTGACACAGTATACAAGAATTGTATGGTAAGCAAATCATTCTTTACTTTCAATTCAGAAAACTAACTGCACAAGACAATGTACTACCCCTTAGTTTCTTTAGTTAAAACCAGGGGGTGTACTCAGGATTTTGGAAGGAGGTATTTCCACAACTGTACCTTTGTCCATGAGTTTATTGCTAGATAATCTTATATCTTAATCTTGTCTTCATCTTAGAAGGCTTTCTGAACAGCCAGGAAAGACCCCCAGGTATGCCACTGTTTAAAACAGCTCAAAATTTAGCAATATAAGTAGTATTAAACTAATTCTGAGTTTTACAAGTTTACTGGCATTACTAAAAAGTACTGCCAAATTCTATTCCTAATAATTAACCAAATGGAAACCATCATACTAGTCATCTATTTTCTTAATCACACATCTTTTGTTACTACAGAAAACTAATAATACAATTACCTGAGGAAGAACTTGGACCCCAACTCTGACGACTTCCACTATGTGCAGAGTTAAATGAACTTCCCAAGCATTTGCCATGAGAACTAAGACCAGGAGGTGGACCCCGAGTCTTAAAGGTTGGTGCTCCCCAAACATCAGATCCTGGACCCAAAGCACCCCAACTAGACTTCAAGTTGGCTTGCTTGTTGGAGCTGGAGCTGTTGTTTTAAGATTTAATGATGTACTTCTTGTATTTAGAAAACTACAATCAAACATAGCAGGTACAATATAAAGGACCATTAATATTAACACTTTGACTGAAGCTGCTTAAAGCACACACAGAATTTTTGCGAGCTGCACACTGTATATAGCACACTAGCATTCAACTGCCAGAAGTGTACTGTACCCTGTATGGTGAATCAGCAGTCAATAGTTAAGGCTATTGTTAACAGCAAAAGTATAAAAATGCCAAGCCTTTACATTTTTTTAAAATGAATGGCTCCTCCTTTGCATTATTTTGACAATGAATTCAGCTGAGCTAAATTGCTTTACATCTCACCTAATCTATAGTTAGTAGTAAACTACTATACATAAGTCATTAAAAATATTTTCTGTAGAAATAAATACAAATCTTAATATACAGGATGGTCTAAACTTATATTTTATGTTTCAAAATTTAATGATTAAATAACTAAAGAAATACAACAGTGCAGTTTTAAACATCATGTAGCAGTGAATAGTGTTACCCCGTAAAATGGCAACCGTGCAAGAAAAGGCTCAATGTGTCATGTGGGTTGCAGAGACCAAGTCACTAAATATGGTGCAGCATAATTCCAGATGCCAGAACATCAGAGAAGTATGGGTATGTTAAGGACATCATATATCGTACACCTGTGGCAAACTTCATTGAGCTAAAGACCAGGGTAACACATGCCACTGCAGCTTTGAACATGTTGTAGCAAACAGAGACTGAAACTAAATACTGGTTAGACTTGCTGAGAGCCACTAATGGTGTACACATAGAAGTCTACTGACACGTTAATAAAAATTGATTTGGGCTGCAAGATGTTGAAAACTGCATGGTTGTGTTTCCTTAGTTAATTATTAAATTTTAAAATAGCAAAGATAATTTTGGACCACCTTATATATTAATTCTTTTCATAAGCTTACACATGTCTGAATGGCATTATCTGAAATAAACTACACTGTCCTAAATAGAAAATTACCTTCAAAACTGGTATTAAATCAGAAACCTTGATGACAATCCTAATGATACCAGGGCTTGACATTAATCACTCTCTGGGGTAGGTAAAAATAATTTTGGACAGTTAGAACTGTTGTGTTGCTTGCCAAAAGGTAGTTACAATTGTCCTTCACTTCACATATAATACAGAATTTGGCTCTATAAAGATACTGATTATATAGTGCAGAAAGCATTTAGTATCTGCATGTTACAGCCATCTAATGTTCATCTATTTTTGGCTGGTAATTCCTGTTTCAACATCTACTTAAGCTCTTTAAAGGAACACCAGATATTTGTAAGAAAGTTAACTTCAAGGTGTAATGTTTAAACTAGAATTATGATACTGTTTAGCTTATGTAAAATACAGAACAATTTAACTTTTTAATACTCCCCCCCCCAAACTTTGCAGCACCCTATTTAGTATTCTACAAAAGGTTTAGATGCAATAAACCAAGCCATTTTTGTTATAGACTGGTAAAAGAATAATAATAAGAAGAAGAATTACAAATTGGCCATTTTGAGTGGATTTTCTTTTCCTTGTAAGTCTAACATTCATGCTTTTTCTGCATTTTCATATGTACAGCCTTAGCAGTTGGTAGTATAGGTTTTAAGGTGTTGTTTGAAATGAATCTTTACTATTTAAAGTGCTTTTTGCTTTAAAGTTCTATTAGGGTTTTGTGCAATTCCATATGATCTCTATTATGAACCACTATCGTAGTTCATGATATGTACAAAAAGAAAGTTAACATCTTATTAAATCAAAAATGTATTTCCAATAATACTTACCTCCTCTCATACTTACAGCTACTACTTGACTGCCAGAGTTTCTTTCTTTGCCCATCTAAACATTGGTTGATATTTTCTTGCTTGCTCCGGTCTTTTGTAACCCACTTAATTGCCCTTGGCAAAATATTGCAACACCCTCCACCTATGTCAATGCACCCTCTATACTGTTACTGTATATAAGCACCTCATTCAGATAATGTTATCACTTTTTCCAGACTGACTCTATCCCAGTCTTTAACACTGGCTCTTAGTGGGAAAGAAAGTATTATTGGAAATACATTTTTGAATTAAGCAAATGTCAACTTCCAAAACATACCTCCTCTCACACTTACAGCTAGAATCCCACACTGATAGATGGAAGGACCAGCGAGGGCATTATCCATACAGAAAGTGTCAGCATAGATCATGGGTGTGTCAGTGGACCACACTAGATCCAGAATAGTTATGTTCTTCACCCAGAACTAAATTCAATTCACATACTGTAGGTGGAAATTAACATGACTTGTAATTACTACTGGCCAGGCCCCAACTAGATAGCCAAGGTTCCACTGCTTGAGGTTGGAATTATAGGGCTATGGTCCCTATATCCCACATTGGTGGCTAGGGCAATTGGACCATGATATATATATACACACACACACACATATACATATACACACACACACACTCTCATGAGTGGACAATGGCCTGTAGCCATCGAGTGATGCATTCCGAGTCACCAGAATCATGATGAGAAGGTAAGCAACATCGGAGTGGACAAACCATCTGAAAAACAACACCCAAGGCTCGGAATGATTCGGTATGCCATACTCACCTCGAGGAAACAGAAATCATCCAGTCTGGAATTATGAACACCCATCTTCACTCCCCAACCAAATAAGCAAGGTAAATTCTTCTTGTCTCTGGAATTATGGGGAAGATGTGGAACAAATTGTGTTCAACCAAGGACCCAGGATGGAACTACTCTGTTATTCAGAATTATGAGAAGAGAATGTACCCTCTTCTATGAACAATGTACTGAACCAATATTGGAGGAATAACCTCTGTCCACCACACCACTGACTGGAAACTGGGTGTGGTAAGGACTCCCTACTCCCTAGTAGACCCCCCCCCCGGGGGGGGGGGGATGATGCACATTAGGGAGCCCTGAGGAACAGTGCTCTGGAAACAGTGCAATAGGTGAACCAAGTTCTCTAAATTTTTAAAAGCAAACCAACCCCAATTTATTCAATCCAATGATCAGCAGGTACAAGCAGGATCCATTTATGTTTTACTCATGATAGTTCATGAGCAGCAGTCCAGCAAAGTACAGTAATACCATTTGGTTGTCCTCTTGGTAGTCATATGGAACACCTCATTTCTATAGAGCCTGTTGCAACCTAGAAAAAGGATATTGCTAATGCAGAATTGCTTTGATAAAACCACATCTGCCTGGGCAACACTCAACACAAAGTAGAATCCTGTAAAAATTAGGTAAAGGACCCAGAAAGATAGCAATGAAAATACTCACCCCTTTGTATAATCTAGCAAGTGGTTAAGATACTCACAGGGGGTGGGCAAAAACCCTCAGATGAAGATACTGCCAGATCATGCAAGTAATGCAAGATAAAAGTATTGGGGAGTTTGCACAATGTCTTCCTGCAGGAAATTCAATCAGGCCATTAAGGACATAGAAATGTAACATATCTGATTAGACGTGACGCACAGAAGATTCCTTGCCTTCAAAGAGAGCCCAGAATAAAAATTCATTGTACAGCATCTCTAAAGGCATTAGTGTGAGCAACAAAACCTTCAAGACCCCAAATGAACATGACAACAATCAAAATCTGATCAGTCATAGAAGTGAGAAATAGTATTCAGATGAATTGGTGAAAAGGATTTTTCCCCTTCCCTGTTTGATAGTGTCTTCAGTAAGAATAACCAGTCTGAGGATATAGGTTGAATGATAGAGTTCTGTGGACAAACAGTGCAAACCACTCCGATCAACAATGTCTGTAAGTCAGCATCAACTAAAAATAAACCTTCAGGTAAAGGTGATACATGACATACGAAATTCAGGTCACAAACAGGTGTTGAGAAGAGCATGTAATGTAACCTTAATATACCAGTTGGGTAAGTGGAAAGGTCATTTGGGAAAAAAGACCCAAAATGACTTGAGGAATTTGGAGAGTACTGGGGACTCAAAAAATATTTTGTTGCAAGTATCAAACTGTAGTCAATAAGGCTGCGTACACAAGGTGTTTGTAGAAGATGCAAAAACCCTAGCAAAAAAGAAAACCAGGTCAAAAACAAGTTATGGTTAACACTTATGATCAAAGTTGGTTCAACCTCCTCTCACTATACCATTGCCTATATGCACTAAGCAAAGACTGAGATAGATACATGGCAACCTTAGAAATTAAACCCTGCGTAACCTCTATGCCTGAAGCTCGAGCTTCTGGATAGCCAGGTGTACCATGTCATGGCTGCCTCCACAGAGATGGTCTAAAAAAAAGAGGAAGAGGTGGACACTCTTGAAGGTACCACTGAAGCAGAAACCAGAGTGTAGCTGCCAATCTGGTGTTATCAACAGTTATTACCTTGGGTAACATATGAATTGGAAGGAAGGACTAGAGTTGTAATGGCATCCAAGCCTACTAGAATGCATTCATTTCCGAAGCCCAAAGGTGAGGTACTGGAAACCAAATTCCAGTAGTTGGGTGTTCCAGTGAGAGACCAACACACCAATCAGAGTTGCAAAATGAGAGCCAATGCAACAGGGACCTTGCAATGCAGCATCTATTCTCTTGTGAGAATCTGTTTGGGTTGAGACAATTGATCTGCTACCACAGTCGTCACCCTTGAAACATGGCAAGCTAGTAGAGCAATATGATAAGAGTGGTCCCGAAAAATAAGGTCCAAGAATCGAAAACAAGGAGCCCTGGACCAAGTGCCTCCTCGATGAGAAACAAGATACATCACGAAATTGTCAGAATGAAGCCTGAAGATTTTCCCCTTAATAAGCCCAGACCATGAGGCATTGCCTTTTGAAGAGCAAGAAAGACTAAAATGTTGTGTAGGGAAGCCTCATCATCCGTGAGTAGACCCTGGAATTCCTGACTGTTGGTATATGCAACCAATCCCTTAAGTGAGGCATTTGTGAAAAGATTGAACTCTGGATGAGGTGGTGGCAGAGGAACCCATATCTTA